GGACAGGACACCAACCAAAAAACCACAGCTCCCAGTGACACCAGTGCAGGACACCAACTATAAAACCACAGCTCCCAGTGACACCAGGACAGGACCCAGCCGAGTTCCTGTCCCCAGGACTGTCCCCTTGTCCCCCCCAGAGGCCAGCGGTGCTCTGGGGCTCCCGCTGCCCATCCCCACGTTCCCTGTCCTTTCCTTAATCCTCTTTCTGGAGCTAAAGCAGCCCCGGTCCCCAGTAATCCCCTCTGCGGCCGGGGATTAATTCCCTGCGGGGCCGAGCCAGCCAGGCTGGCAAATAAATCCCCAAAGATTTGGTGAAAACCGTCTCTACCAAGCTCCCACACTCGCGGCCCCACTCCAGGCTCCCCTGGGTGGGTGACTGGGGAAACTGAGGCACGCGCTGGGCGCCGGACAGAGCGCCGGGATTGCCACTGGCTGTGTCCCCCGGGGCTGGGGCAGGACAGGGGACCGCGGCCCGTGCTCTCAGGCACCGAGGAGCCGCAGGCGGGGGCCGGCCGGGCTGTCACACCCGTGGCCGGCATCCAGCGCTCCGGTCCCGGCTTGCCCGGCCGGCGGGGCAGGGCGAGGGCGGCTGCCGTGGCCGCGGATGCCGGGACGGGGCGGGAGAGACGAGCCCCGACCTGTCCGTGCTGCCGGGCCCAGCCCACGCCCGGCTCGGGGAACGGGGTCAGCCCCCCCAGCACCCCCAAATTACCCCGGCAAAGCCACCCTGGGAGAGGGTCCTGGGTGGAGGTGACAGTGACAGCTTGGGGGGTTGTTTGGGGACAGCCTGCTCTTGCTTCAGGCTGAGCCCAGGGCGCTGGGGGGCTCACGGGGGAACCCCGGGGTCCTGGTTCTGCGGGGACCCCCACACCGGGCTCACGGTGAGCACAGGGACCGTCCGTAACGGGATTAACTCGGGCCACGTTCCTGCTTGGCGCCTGCTCCTGACTCCCCACTCTGAGCTGGGCTGGCACCCCATCGCTGCCCCCGGGACACGGGGGGACACAAGGGGGACACAGGGACAGGGGGACACGGGGACGGGTGGACATGGGGACACGGGGACAGGGGGACACAGGGACACAGGGACATGAGTCCATGGGGACAGGGGTCCATGGGGACAGGGATCCATGGGGACAGGGGTCCATGGGGACACGGGGACAGGGGGACACAGGGACAGGGGTCCATGGGGACACGGGGACAGGGGTCCATGGGGACAGGGGTCCATGGGGACACGGGGACAGGGGGACACAGGGACAGGGGTCCATAGGGACACAGGGACAGGGGTTCATGGGGACACGGGGACACGGGGACAGGGGTCCATGGGGACAGGGGGACGGGGTCCTTCGGTACAGGGGTCCATGGGGACACGGGGACAGGGGTCCGTGGGGACAGGGGTCCATGGGGACAGGGGGACACAGGGACATGGGGACAGGGGGACACGGGGGTCGGGGTCGGTCCCCGCTCAGCCCCGGCCCCCCGAGAGCCCCGGTGGGCGTGGCCAATGGCACGGACACGCCCATCCCGTGGGCCGGCAGCCAATGGGAGGGCGGGGGCGGGGCGCGGCGCGGAGGGGGCGGGGCCGGGCGCCGTGTGGCAAATGCGGGCGGGGGGGCACGTGGGGCGCGGGGGGGACACGGTCACGGACACGGACACGGACACGGACACGGACACGGACACGGACACGGGCACGGACACGGACACGGGGACAGCCACACCGGCAGGGGCACAGCCAGCCCCGCCGCCACTGACAGGCGGACCGCGCGCTGCCAGCTCCCGGAGGGAACGCGGGACAGCCAGCCCTGGGCGGGACAGACACACGGACGGGCGAGGGACAGCCAGATCTGGGAGGGGACAGGGGACACGCAGTCCCGGGTAGACAGACGGACAGGGCATAGCCAGTTCTGAAGCGGGCAGGGGACAGCGGGGCGGTTAGCCCCGGACGGGACAGACAGACGGACAAGGGACACCAGTCCCGGGAGGGACAGGAGGACAGCGGAGAGCAGCCGGGGTCTTGGACAGACACCGGGGGGACACGGGGACAGAGAGCCCAGCGCAGGGACAGACGGACAAGGTGGCAAGGGGGGCGCACACGCCAGCGCCCCAGCCCCGGGAGCGGGGCTGTGCGGAGCCTCCCGCCCGGCCGCGCACCGGGAGCCCGGCGGGGCGGCTCGGCGGCTGCTCCGCCGCCTTCCCCGGCCGGGGATGCAGCCCGGAGCCGCGGGCAGCCGGCGATCGGTGCTCCGGGACACGGCGGCCCGACACCCAGCCGGGGCCGCGAGTCCCCGAAGGTAACGGGGGCACCGGGCAGGGAAGGGGCAGGGGAGAGAGGGGGGCTCCGGCGGCTGCGGGAGGGTTTATTCCCAGGGTTTTATTCCCAAGGGAGCTGGGAGGGAGTCCCGCCGCAGGGATGTGTGGAGCCACTTGTGGTGACACAGTTGGCGGCGACAGGACGGTGACGACGCGACCTCTCCCTTTCTCCAGGGATTTGAAGCTGGGTCAAGCGATGGAAATGTCATTGTCGCGGCTCGGGGGCCCGGAGAAGTGAGCGGCTGGGACACCGGGGCACCGGGCTCTGCTCTGCGGCCAGACACCGGGACGGTCCCGAGAAAGCAGCACAGCCCTGGGCAGAGCGGGCGGAAAGTGGCATTGTCACAGACTGCAAGGACACAGGACAGTACCTGGGCCAGGAGCCGTCCCACCACCCACTCGGGGCTGGGAGCCTCTGACCGGACTCTGGCACCCACCTGAGCCCGATGAGGAGCTGGGGCTGCATGTGAACCTATGCAGACCAGGAAGAAATACATTTTCCTGACTTTCCTTGCCTCTTGGCTCCTGCTTTTCTTCTTTGGAGGGGATCAGCTGCGCCGTTTCGCTTTCTTTTCCGGGAGGAAAGCAGAAGCCCGGAGGAGCTGGCCCCGCTGGACGGATCGCTCCCTCCTCCAAAGCTTCGCGGACCCCGAGGAGCTGCAGAGGGATGGGGACCCTTCCCCGCTGTCCCCCCGGGAGCGGCGGGCGGCGTGGCTGAGCGGCTCCAGGAGCAGCAGATGCCGGATGGAAACCTGCTTCGACCTCTCCAGGTGCGAGAGGCACGGCTTCAAAGTGTTCACCTACCCCCAGGAGCGGGGCCAGCCCGTCTCGGAGACCTACGGCAAAATCCTCAGCTCCATCGAGCGCTCCCGCTACCACACGCTGAAGCCCGAGGAAGCCTGTCTGTTCGTGCTCGGCATCGACACGCTGGACCGCGACCACCTCTCGGGCCACTACGTGCGGGACGTGGATGAGAAACTCCGCGGCTTCCCGCTCTGGAACGGCGGCCGCAACCACCTCATCTTCAACCTCTACTCGGGCACCTGGCCCGGCTACAGCGGCGAGCTGGGCTTCGACAGCGGCCAGGCCATCCTGGCCAAAGCCAGCTTCGACACGCGCGGCTTCCGACCCGGCTTCGACGTCTCCATCCCTCTGTTCCCCAGGGAGCACCCGCAGCGCGGCGGCCGGCTGCGCCGGGGCTCGCTGCCCCCCAAAAAGAAATACCTGCTGGTGTTCAAGGGGAAGCGGTACCTGACCGGCATCGGCTCCGGCACGAGGAACGCGCTGCACCATATCCACAACGGGAAGGACATCATCTCCCTCACCACCTGCAAGCACGGCAAGGACTGGGAGAAGCACAAGGACACGCGCTGTGACAAGGACAACGTCGACTACGAAAGGTGAGTCGGAGATGGGGGGAAGGGGGGTCTGGGGTAGAGGGGGCACCCCACAAATGTTCCTGCCTCTCTGCGGGGTGCAGCCCTGACCGTCCGTGGCACCTGGACCTCCGGAGAGGGAAGTTTTGGGTTCTCCTGAGGGGGATGAGGGTTTCATTGCACGGTGGGGAGCGAGGCGCTGACTGCTCAGGGCTTTCCTGCTCTGTATTAAAGTTGGAGTAATCTGCCGAGAGCGGCTCTTATCTGCAATCGCTGCCACCGCCTCTAATACGATTTCCCTTTTTCCCAACGCTGATGAATGACGCTTTTCTTCTCCCCCCTCCCGCTCTCCCCCAACATAAACGTTTCTCTTGGAGATGAGCCCGAAACATCCCCCCCCCCATCACTGGCTCCACTGAAAATCCCACAAAACTGGCGGGTCTGTGGGTGTCCCAGTGTGGGCAGCCCCGAGCTTAACTGGTGGCAGTGGGTGGGGGTCCCCCTGCATCCCCCATCACAAATGAGCACGGCGGCAGCAGCGTGGGATAGACACACTGGTGGAAAAATTGAGGGTACGAAGTTCTGTGAGTTTGGGGGTTCCATCCTGTAGAGACACATGCCAGCTCCTCACCTCCCCATCCGACTACTTGGGACCCCCCACCAGCTGCCGAATCCAGGGCCGGTAAACACAGAGCCCATCCCGCAGACAACAGGCAGGTCCCCATCCCACTGCCTGGGGACATCCCCCAGCCACTCAGCTGGAGAGCAGATGGGGAGAGGCCACGCTGGGCATCATCCTCAAAGCATCTTAGGAGGTGCTGGGAGGTAAAAGTGGAGCTGGGGTGCTGGCACTGGGATTAGCCGGGGCTTTGGGATGGGTCAGGCACCACATGGCCCTGTCTGGAGGTGCCACCAGCCCAGCAGGGTCAGCACTCGTGGCCAAGTCTCTTTGGAATGGGGCATCTCAGGACAGGGGCGTTGGCAGGACGGGGGGCCCAAGGTCAGCCCCACGCTGTGCCAAGGGGCAGCGGGAGGAGAATTCCCCCCATCCGCCCAGCCAGGTAATCCCCTAATGCTGTTTGCAAACACAGCGAGATTTGCACCTCTCCCAGGACGGCTTTGGCCGGCGGATCCACGGGGAACACGCGGCAGCGTGCTCGCGTGTGACCCCGAGCCCCGCCACCCTGCTCGTCCCTGTGGGACCCACAAAGCCATCGGTGTCACCGCAGGGCCAGCTCTGCCCGAGCTCCCGCGGGGACCGGTGCCCTCCTGCCCGGGGAGGGCACAGAGCGGGACCCCGGCGTTCCCGGTCACCCGGCGCCTTGGGTGCTGGCACGGCGCCGGCAGCCGGGGGAGCGGAGGAAGGCTCTGCTGGGTGCTCCATCCTCCTCCTCGTGCCCCAAACAAGCCGGGTCTGTTCTGGGATAAAGGGCGGCTTGTGGCCCCGCTGCCCCGCGTTCGGAGCAGTCAGCGCGGGCTGGGAAAGGCTCTGCGGAGCCGCCGCTGCCGGTGGCACCGTGCCCGGCCGGAGCCGCGGAGGGGCCTGGCGAAGGGAGCGCGGCTCCTGACAAAACAAGGAAGCCCTGACGGCGATCGCCCGGAAACCGCAGCGCGGCAGGAGCGGAGCGTTTCCAGCGGGAGCCCTCGGCCCCGCAGCCCGGCCGGCGCCAGCCGCCCCACCGCGCCCGCCGCCGGCCCCCCGGCCCGGTCCCGCTGCGCTCCCGGCCGGGAGTTTGAGCGTTAACGGGTCAAAGGTTTTGGCATCCTTTGGAGACCTTGGGGAGGTTCATCCAGAGGCAGATTTTATTGTGAAACTCTGTGCCTTGGCATCGGGGCTGATTTCCCACATGCCGGAGCGCTGGGACGTGCCAGAGTGCTCCGGCACCCACGGGGGTGACACAGCCTCAACTCCCAGCCTGGCACCAGCACCCAGCCACCGCAGGGGCACCCTTCCTCCTGGCACCGACACACTGCAGGGGCTCTTTTTGGCCTCCCAGCCACCCGGCTGGACCGTGCGAGTCCCCCCTAGCCCATCCGGGACCGGCTGCCCCTCCCCGCGGGCAGGAACAGACGGGGTCTGTCCCGACCTAAAGTCAATATTGGATTTTCCGGCGCGGCCGCAGGGACCCGGCAGCGGCCGAGCCTCTCCCCAGCGCGGCACAGAAGGGGCTTTGAGAGCCCCAGGGCCGGGGGGGCCGCGCTGCCGGCACCCACTGCCCCCCCCGAACGCTGCCAGGGCAGGCAGGGCCGGTCCTGCCCAGCAAGCCTGGGCACGGCACGGGAGCCGCCGCAGTTTCGGGCTCGGGGGTTTGGGTGGTGGCTTTGTGTGAGGTGTCATTGCTGGAGGGTGGGAAGAGCTGGGTCGTGCCTTCAAAGGGCACTGGGGTCCCTTCCTGACCGCCCCCCTCTTTAAGGGATGCCCAGATCCATCCCTGCAGCACCCAGGAGATCTCTGCTCCCACAAATCCAGGGATGTTCAGAGGCAAAATCAATCCAAACCGACTGTAGCCAACCCTGTGTTGGCTCCACACCTGGCAGGTGCCAGCAGCACCTGTGGGATGTCACGGGAGGGGAGGGGGCCATGCCTGACCCCCACCCCATCTCCCACGCCAGGTTTGACTACCAGGAGCTGCTGCACAACTCCACCTTCTGCATCGTGCCCCGGGGCAGGCGCCTGGGCTCCTTCCGCTTCCTCGAGGCTCTGCAGGTACGGGGTGGCCAGGGGGATGGGGGATCCCTTCGCCGGGGCCCGGGGGCTCTGTCCCAGCCTGCGGGGTCCCTCCACAGGCCGCCTGCATCCCGGTACTGCTGAGTGACGGCTGGGAGCTGCCCTTCGCCGAGGCCATCGACTGGGGCAAAGCTGCTGTGGTGGGCAGCGAGAGGCTCCTGCTGCAGGTACCGGGCCCAGATCCTGCCCCATGCTGGGTACCAGACCCCAGTCCCAGATCCCAGAGCCACCAGACCCCCAGTCCCAGATCCCAGAGCCACCAGACCCCCAGTCCCAGAGCCACAGACCCAAATCCCAGATCCCAGAGCCACCAGACCCCCAGTCCCAATGCCAGTGGTGGTGGAGCCCCCAGCCAAGCGTGGGGGTGAGCCTGGCAGTGCTCCTGTGGAGGGTCTGACCCAGCCTGGAACGGGGGTCCCGCTCCCGCTGCAGTCCCAGGGCGTTGTTCATCTCGTGGTGAAGGGGTCAGGATCTTCCCGGGCACAAACCCTTGGGAATCCCGGGCCCCATCCTGCCCCAGGGAGAGGAAGCGCAGCCCCGCAGGAGGAGGGTGGCACACCCGTGGGATGGCTGGGACAGCCGGGGGGGGCAGAGGAGCCCGGGCGGGGGGAGGCTGAGCTGAGCACCCCGCTGCTCCCCCGGCCCAGATCCCGTCCGCCGTGCGCTGCATCCACCCGGAGCGTGTGCTGGCCTTCCAGCAGCAGACCCAGTTCCTGTGGGATGCCTACTTCTCCTCGGTGGACAAGATCGTGCACACCACGCTGGAGGTGAGCCCCCCACCCCGAACGCCCCTCCCCGGCTGCCGGGGTCGCATTTGGGAGCATCTCTCTGCCTCTGGCAGATCATCAAGGACCGCCTGTCTCCGCACCGCTCCCGCTCCCGCTTCCTCTGGAACGCGCTGCCCGGGGGGCTCCTGGTCCTGCCCGAATTCTCCACCCACCTCGGGGATTTTCCCTTCTACTACCTGCACCACGGTAGGATCCTGCCTGCCCCGGCCGAGCACGGCAGACTCGGGCTGTGCCCAACACCTCTCCTTTCCCTTCCCCACCCTTTTCTTCAGGCTACAGCCCCTCCAAGAAGTTCACGGCTTTCATCCGGGCGGCCTCGCAAGCAGGGTCGCTGTCGCAGCCCCTGCTCAGGCTCATCCAAGCCGTGTCTGGATCCCAGCACTGCGCCCAGGTGCGAGGAGCCGAGTCCCGCGTCTGCAGCTCGCAGGGATCCCGCGGGATGGCGGGGCTGGGTCCTGCAGGATGGAGTTTGGGTTTGGGGGTGGAGGGGATGCCTGGTGGTGTCACCTTCGGGTAGGCAGAGCCAGGTCTGCAGCCCTCTGGGGCAGGGGTGGGACCGCTGGGGGTTTATCCTGGACCGAACTGCCACGAGACGGTTTGGAACACAGAATTCACCAAACCCCTCCAGCCACACCTCTCCTGCCCATTGCAGATCGTGGTCCTGTGGAGCTGCGAGAAGCCACCACCCCCGAGCTGGAAATGGCCCCAGAGCAGCGTGCCTCTGAGCATCGTCCAGGGCAGGAGGAAGGTGAGGGACAGGGACACGGGAGGGGACCAGGGACATGGGCAGGGATCAGGGACAGGGACAGGGACACAGGAGGGACCAGGGACACAGGAGGGGACCAGGGACACGGGAGGGGGCTAGAACAGGCACCCCACGGCACCAACCTGCCCCTCCTCCCTCCGCAGCTCAGCGACCGCTTCTTCCCCTTCGGGGCCATCCAGACGGACGCGGTGCTGAGCCTGGACGAGGACACCAGCCTCTCCACCAGCGAGGTGAGGCCACGGCCCCGGCTCCCTGGGAGGCTCGGGGGTCAGCACGGGGCTGTCCCCGCGTCCTGCAGGTCCCCGCGGTGGGTGACACCGTGCCCGTGCCGTGTGCCAGGTGGACTTCGCCTTCTCGGTGTGGCGCAGCTTCCCCGAGCGCATCGTGGGCTTCCCCACGCAGAGCCACTTCTGGGACCCCGAGCAGGGGCGCTGGGGCTACACCTCCAAATGGACCAACGAGCTCTCCATGGTCCTCACGGCCGCCGCCTTCTACCACAGGTACCCGGCCGGGCCGGGGCTGCGGGGGCCGGGGAGGCTGCGGGGCCGGGGGCTCGCCCATCCTGCCCCTCAGCCCGTTCTCCCGCAGGTACTACCACAGCCTCTTCACCGAGTACCTGCCCGCGGGGCTGCGGGAGCTGGTGGACGGGCTGGCCGCCTGCGAGGACATCCTGATGAACGTCCTGGTGGCCGCTGTCACCAAGCTGCCACCCATCAAGGTGACCCAGCGCAAGCAGCACAAGGAGGGGGTGGCGCAGCAGGAGGGGTGCAGCGATGGGGCTGCGGGGACCCCCCCGCCCGGGCAGAGGAGCCCCCCGCACCCCGCCGCTGCCCGGGCGGGGGGCACGGCCGGGCCGCGGCGCTTCTCCCAGCGGCAGGACTGCCTCAACCAGTTGGCCGACTGGTTTGGCTACATGCCCCTGGTGTCCTCCCAGCTGCGCCTCGACCCCGTCCTCTTCAAGGACCAGGTGTCCGTCCTGCGCAAGAAGTACCCGAGCCTGGAGAGGCCGTGAGGGCCGCCGGGGTCGGGGCCGGCTCCCGGTGCGGCGCTCCCGGGGCACGGAGCCCCCCGGGAGCGGGCTGGCTGCTGACGGGGTTTTACTCGTTACCGGCTTTTAGCAGTGCAATAAAGGAGGGGGGAGAGGCAGATCCGGGTGGTGGCTGTGGGGTGCGGGGGGAGCACCAGGAGCGCTGGGAGCAGCAGCTTTTGGGTGCTCCAACGCTTCTGCCGTCGGCACCACGGGAATAACCCGAGCAGCCCCCCCGGCCCTGCGGGCAGGGAGAGTCCTTCACCTCCCCCAGGGCAAACAGAGGAGCGATAAGAGCTGTGCGTGACCTCCCTCCCTCGCTCCAGCTGGGTCCCCGCAGTCCCTGCGCAGCCCAGCGCTCCCTGCCTCGTGGAGGAGAAGGGAAAAGGAGCGTTCAGCTGGCTCTCCTCCCAGCGGAATAGAAACACGGAATATTAGGCGGCCTCCAGCAGCCACACTCACACTGCCACAGCCCCGGGTCTGTCCTTGGCTCCTACAGATAGCGGAGATAACACCCAGAGCCAACATCCCCCTCACCGCCCTGAGCTCTGCTTTATTTGCCGCACGTGAACAGCCCCGGGCGCGGGTCAGTCGCGGGGGGGCTGGCACTCCCGGCAGTCCCGCATCTCCTCGGAATAGCTCTCCACCTGGATGGTGGTGCTGTGGAAGCGGAAGGCGCCCTGCAGCCGGGAGCTGGCCTCCTCCAGCACCTCCTGCGCGCTGGCAGCCGCGTCTGCCAGGGGAAAAGCCGGGGATGTGGGGGTGGGGGGAACCCCGACCCTCCCTGCCCAGCACCGTGACACTCGCTGGTGGCCCTGTCCCCCCACTGTGCCACTCCCTGTGGCTCTGTCCCCTCGTGGTGATACTCACTGGTGGCCCTGGCACCCCGTCCCCACATTGTGACACTCCCTGTGGCTCTGTCCCCCCACTGTGACACTCCCTGGTGGCCCCGTCCCCCCACTGTGCCACTCCCTGTGGCCCTGTCCCCCCACTGTGACACTCCCTGTGGCTCTGTCCCCCCACTGTGCCACTCACTGTGTCTCTGTCCCCCCACTGTGCCACTCATTGATGGCCCTGTCCCCCCACTGTGACACTCCCTGTGGCCCTGTCCCCCCACTGTGTCACTCACTGTGTCTCTGTCCCCCCACTGTGCCACTCCCTGTGGCTCTGTCCCCTCGTTGTGCCACTCACTGATGGCCCTGTCCCCCCACTGTGCCACTCCCTGGTGGCCCTGTCCCCCCACTGTGACACTCCCTGTGGCTCTGTCCCCTCGTTGTGCCACTCCCTGTGGCTCTGTCCCCCCACTGTGCCACTCCCTGTGGCTCTGTCCCCTCGTTGTGCCACTCACTGATGGCGATGTGCACCGAGAGCAGCGGCTGCGCCGCCGTTAGAGCCCAGATGTGCAGGCTGTGCACGGCCTCCACGCCCCGCACCGCCAGCAGCGTGTCCCGCACGGCGTTGAACTCCACCCCTCGGGGGGTCCCTGCGGAGGCAGAGCCGTGGCAGCCGCGGGACGGCGCCCACGGCACCCGTGGGTGACCCCGCTGCCCCCCGGGGGTCCCTACCCTCCATGAGGACGAGGAGGACGTCCCGGAGGATGGTCAGCGTCGTCCCCAGCACCAGCGCCGAGAAGAGGAAGGTGCAGATGGGATCCACGTACTTGTACTCGGGCTGGGGAGGGTGGGAGGGGGTGGGAGGGGGTGAGACCCCTGCGGCACCACCAGCTCACCCCAAAGCCCCACCGGGGCCGGCAGGGCGGGCACGCTGCCCTCTCTGCCCGCCCTGTGCCTGTCTGGAGCCTCTGTCCCGTGTCCCCAGCACCCCCTGGGCCCCCAGCACCCCCAGACCTTGAAGAAGATGATGTAGGAGGCGATGAGGACGCCGAGGCTCTGCAGCAGGTCGCCCACCACGTGCACGAAGGCGGCGCGGACGCTGGCGTTGGGCGGCTCGCCGCCCGCCCCGTGGCTGTGCCCGTGCCCCGTCTGGTGCAGAGCCACCCCCATCCTGCGGGCAGGGCACCGCTGACACCCCGGGGGGCTCAGGGAGGGGCTCCCCCGGGAGGGCAGGGGTCCCGCACCCCCGGAGCCCCGTACCCCCACGTACACGATGTTGACGGCCACGGCGCAGGCCGAGGTGATGAGCATGACCCCGCCCTCGATGTCGTAGTCCCCCGAGAGCAGGCGCTGCGCCCCCAGGTAGACCAGGACCCCCGTCACCACCCAGATGGAGAGCACGGAGAGCAGGGCCCCCAGGATCTCTGCGGAGAGAAGCCCCAGGTCGCTGCCCCGCTGCCGTGCCATGCCGAGCACCCTCCCCAGCAGCGCCCGGGCACCCGGCGCCCACCCCCGGGACGCTCCTTGCCCTGGGCTGGCAGCGCCTCTGCCTTGCCTTGTTCGTGGTGCCAGGACTGTGCCAGGGCTCCCCAGGCCCCTCAGGGCACCCCGAAGCCCCTGGGCCACACGGGGAGGGCGCCCTGGGGTGCCCCGCTGGCATCCCCGGGACGGTGCCACCGCGTTACCTGCCCGGTGCCATCCGAAGTTCATGGTTTTGGTGGGGGGCCGTGAGGACACCCAGAGCGCAAAGAGGCTGATCATGATGCTGGCAAAGTCCGTCAGCAGGTGGGCAGCGTCCGTCAGGATGGCCAGGCTGTGTGCCAGGTACCCGCCTGCGGACACGGCACATCGGGGGCACATCGGGGGCACATCGGGGGGACACGGCAGCGGTCCTGCCCCGAGCTGGGCACGGATCAGCACCCCCCGTGCCACAGGGGGTGTCGTGACCCACAGAAAACCAACGGGGAGCTCTGGCCGCACCCCCAGCGGGGAATCGGGACAAGAGGGGCTCCGGGCAGCCACTCGGGGTGACCCCACGGGGACCCCAGCGCAGCGGGCGCCCAGCACTCACCCACGGCTTCGCCCACCATGAAGAAGAGGCAGATGCCAGCGGCCAGGTAGAGCTTCCTGCGTGCCCGCCGCTGCTGGCCGGGGTGGCCGCCGTCCCCCCGCGGGTGGCAGTGCCGGCCGCGCCGTGTGCCCAGCTCCAGGGCGGGCTCCTGGCCCTGCGCCGCGCCCTGCCCGTCCTTGTGCGCGGCCCCCGCGGAGCTCCTGCCGCCCAAAGGGGAGCTGCGGCACCTCGGCCGGCGGGCTGGACCCCCGCTGCTCCCCCCCGGCCCGGCCCCGCTCGGGATCGGCACAGCAGCGGGGGCACGGCGCCCCCAGCCCCCCGGCACCCCCGTACCCGCCGGTGCCCTCGCTCAGGAGGCGCCGCTTCTCGTCGCCGGCTGCCATCCTCCTCCGGGCCGGGGGGTGACCCCGGCGTGCGGCCGGCGCCGGGGCAGCCGGTGGCCTTGGCTCGTGTGAAGAGCCGGGATTCGTGTGCAAATCCCGGCTGGAGGAGGGACGGCCCAGCCGGCTGCAAAGCGCCCGCGGAGCCCGGCCCGGGCTGCTGCTGGGGCGGGGGGATCGCTCTGGGACCCCCGCCCCGAGCGCCCCCCGGAGCTGCACAGCCGGGCTGGGTGCAGAGGGGGATGGGAGGTCCCCTTGTCCCCTCCAAAGGCACACGGTGACCCCACTCCCCGCTTTGGAACCCCCCCAGTTTCCATCCAGCCGCGGGATGGATGAGCCTGGACCCCCCTCCACAGCAGCGGCTCCTGCCCCGCCCTGGGCGAGCAGCGTTAATTACCCTGGGGCTAATTGCACTTGGGGCTCAGCTCTGGATGCTGCCTCAGTTTCCCCTTGGCCCCTCTGAGCAGGACTCATGCTTTTGCAGGAGAAAAGCATTTATGGAGTACTTTTGCATTTATGGTGTGTTTTTTTCATCCGAGGTGCATTTCTGAGCTCAGTCAGCAGCAAACCAGCGGCTCGATGCTGAGACCATCCCCATTTCGGGGGCTGGCCCAGTCTGGAGCATCCTCAGCCCCCCCGTGCCACATCTCCGGCCCAGGGCAAGCTCTGCACAGGGCATCCCATCGCCAGGAGATAAATCCTGCCGGGTGCCGACCTGTTACATCCCGGGCGGGCGGCCAGGAGCGGCTGCCAGAGGTGCTAATGAGGCTGGAAATTAAAGAGCTGCACCGGAGGTGTCCCTCTGCCACGCCGGGCGCTGGCAGGGACACCGCTGATGGCACCAGCCCGGCAAACCCATCCCCGGTGCCCACGGCGGGGCTGGCGAGCCGAGAGCGAGAGGCGAGGAAGCAAAAAACCACCCAAAGCAGCGGCTTTCTTTACAAAATACACAACTTTCAAATGCGTGACAATCATATACAAAAGAAGGGAATTATAAAACGTGCGGAATTCTCCTATTTGCACCCGTATAGAAAAGTGTCCTGTGCTGGAGCAGGCGCCGGCTCGCCACGCTGCCGGTCCCTGCCGTGTGTCCCCCCCGTCCCAAATCCGTGCCGGACATCCTGCGCCCGGGGGCGTTCCTCCCGCGCCGGCAACGTTGTTGTGGCTACAGGGAAGCTGCCGAGGGAGAGGATGGGGTGATCAAAGAGAGCCCAAGCCCCCAGAGCTCCCCCATGGGTGCTGGAGGGTCCTGGGGAGGTGGGCTCAGCCGTGCTCTGCCCCTTACCCATCACTGTCCTCTCGGGCGCCGCGGTCTCTTCCACCTCTTCTTCCTCCCCATCAAAGTATTCCTCATCTTCCTCTGCTGCAGAAGGGCAGCCAAAGGTCACCAAGAGTCACAAGGAAAAGCGGAGGGGGAATCGGTAAAGGGGCACTGGGGGCTGAATTACCGGGCTCGAAGTCCAGGGCGCGCACGGCCTCGGTGAGGTGCTCCAGGCTGACGGAGAAGGCGTCCATGCTCTCATAGCCCTGCTCGATCTTGTCCAGCCGCCCGCCCTTGGAGGCCTCCACGATGCTGGGCAGGGAGAGCAGCGGTGTGTGCGTGTCCCTGTCCCCCCGCGGGGACCGTGGGGCAGCGGGGCAGGGCAGCGCCCACTCCCCAAATCCTGCCCGTGGGGGCTGGAGCGTGGAGATTCCCCCAGTTTGAGCACTTACGTTTTTATCAGCTGCTTGGCGTTCTGTGGAGGGAGAGAAGGGGGAGGAGAAGAAGGAGGAGGAGGAGGAGGTGAGTGAAGCAGCAGCAACCACCAGGTCGTCCCCAGCAGTGGGACGCCACGGGGCAGGTTTGGGGGTCTCACCATGAGGAAGGCGGCCCCCCCGGTCTCCTCGGCTGCCTGGATGGCGGTCTCCACCAGCCGGCTGGACTTCTCCAGCTGCTCCTTGTACTGGCAGATGAGGCTCTGGATGAAGGCGGTCTTGTCCGCCTGCTCCTGGGAGATGCGCTGCAGCAGCTCCGCCTTCTTCTCCTGCAGCAGCGCTGCCAGCGCGTCGAAGCGAGCGCAGAGCTCCCGCTTGGCCGCCTCGCTGTTCTCCTGCGGGGACAGGGGACAAGGGATGCCACCTCTGCGTCCCCCCAGCGCCTGCAACACCCCAGGGCTTCCCTGCTCCACGGGCTCCACCCCACTGCCGCCCATGCCCGGCTGAGGTTTCACTGTCAGGTTTTGGGGGGCTCCTTTCTGTGGGTCTCAGATTCAGTCAAAGAAAGACACTGAGAGTTTCTAGCCAGGCAGAAGCCTGGGAAAGAGCTGGGAAAGAATGTAAATAATTCTTTATCTCTCTTGTTTTTCACATTGTTTATAGATAAGTTCTATCACTGTGCGTCAAGCACTGTACACCAATAGCGTGGCTTGTTTTCACTTCAGAACCAATGGATTTGATCCTTGCGAAGCTCTGTATAAAAGAGCGGGGTATTTTGAATAAATCCGAGTTTTACTCTCAGCAGCCTTCTGATCAGTCTTCTCATTCCCGTCCTGCCTCGACAGCGACGCCTCTCCCCCTTTCCTCACCTCGGTGCTCTGGCAGGAGTCCTCCAGCTGGGAGATGATGGTCTGGATCCGGTCGTTCCCCGCCACCAGCATGGAGATGCAGTTGTTCAGCTCAGTCTGGTGAGCGACAGAGAGAAGGAGTTCTAACTCCTGTGGAGGCAGGAACTTCTCCCATCCCAGCCTGGGGACGGGCTGGCCATTGCTCGTCCCCAGCCCTGCTCCCCCTCATCCCTCAGCAGCCACTCTAAATATAGTCTGTCTCCTGGGCGAAGTCACCCGGGGGCTATTAATACCCCGTGAGGCAGTCCCGGAGTTATTTGTCACTGTCCCAGCTCAGCAGATGGCCCGCAGCCCCCCCGGGTCCCCCCCCAGGGCACCTTCTGTCCCTGGAAGACGCTTTGCAGAGGGGCCACCTCGCAGTCCTTGTGGGCACCGAAGACTTTGCACATGGAGCAGGTGGGGACCTCGCAGGTGACGCAGTAGATGTTGATCCGCTCGTCCTCGTGCTCCTTGCACATGGGGTGCTCCCCCTTCTTCAGCGGCCTGCTGGAGAGGGTGGCACGGCCGCGGTGACATCGCCGTCGCGGTGACACCCGCACCAGGCTGATGGCCCCCGCCACCCCGGTGTCCCCACTGCAGCATCACCCCCACCGTGGTGACACATCCACCTGTCACCCCGAAATCGGAGAGACGCCAGACCCTGGCACAACCCCACAGCTGCTCCTCTGGGAGCCACCAACCTCTGCAAACCCCAGCAGGTCCCAGTTTAGGCCACCGTGGCGCTGGGCATGGCAGCGGGTGGCACCGGGGACGGGGGGGGCTGCGAGCCAGAGGAGCTGCACCAGGGCCTAATTTTAGCCCTGTGCTGCCCGGATTTATTGTCACCCATCGTGTGACCGGGGTGGGGACACCCAGAAACCGCCGGGGGTCCCAGACGGGGGCTGCAGCTCAGTCCTCCCATCCACAGCAGGGAGGGACGTGGGGACAAGCCAGCAGCCTGAAACAGGGACAGGCCTGGCCCCCCGGCCCCCCCAGCAGCCACGGACACCTGCCACGTGCCATCGTCCCCGTCCCCATGGCTCTCACACAATATTTACAGCGGTTCAGGGAACCTGGCTGGGGCCACCGCTCTGCCTCGAGAGCCCGTGACCCCTCTGTCCCCCCCAGCTTCATCCTTGTACCCACTGGGCCCCCCCCAAACCGTCCCTCTGCCCCTTATCAGCCCCGGTGCCCGCTGTCAGCAGCAGAGCCCGGATTCCTTCCCCACACCTCTTATCTGCCAGCCAATGTTCCAGCAAGAGGGGCAGAGGACGTGCCCGGCTGGCACCACCCCCAGGGACCTGCCACCCCCCTGGGACAGCCAGAGGCACAAACTGCTGGGGCAGAGGGGAGAATGGGGCTGGGGGAGGAAGTTTTGGGTGCAGGAGGAAGTTTTGAGTCACGGGAGGGAGGTTTTGATGGCGATTTGAGTCAGGAAAAGCTCTGAACCGGGGATGGCTGAGCAGGAAGACCCCCAGGTGCGATCTCTGGGGGTCTCAGCGCTGCTGCCGGGGCACGGCTGGGGCATCCCCGTGTCCCCACGTCCCCGTAAGCCCATGGCCGCGCTGCCCACCTGGAGCACTCCTGCTTGTAGATGTCGATGATGTTCTCCACCAGCAGGTTCCTCTGCAGCCCGTAGACGCCGTGGCGGTCCAGCAGCACCTCGTGGCGGCACGAGGGGCACCGGAACCGGCCCCCCGAAATCAGACTGCCGCGGCTCTGCCAGTACGGGTTGGCAGCCTGGGAGGGGAAGATGAGCCCGGGGGGTCCATCAGTACCCCCACAACACCCCGGTGCCCCCCGGGCCGGGCGCGGGGGCCCCGCTCACCTGGAAGACGTCGTTGGCGCACTTGCGGCACAGGTTGTGCTGGCAGGGCAGGATGACCACGGGCTTGCTGAACATCTCCAGGCAGATGGGGCAGATGAGCTGCTTCTCCAGGCTCTCCATGGGGCTGCCATCCTGCAGGATACCGCCTTGGAAATCCATGGGCTCCTCAGGGCTCTGCTCCCGGCGCTCTCGCCGCCGGCGCCCCTCGCCCCGCTATTTATAAGCCGCCGCCTCGTCACGCGTTTGCCGGTCGCGGCTCGGTGTCGGGTGTCCCGGGACAGGGGACAGCAGCTGTCACACGGTGCTGAGCCACCGCAAGGGCCGGTAAACAAGATGGGCACAGGCTGTCCAGGAGGCGCTGCCCACCCGTGCCGCGGACGTGCCCGAGCGGGAGCCGCGGGGTAAACAAGCGGCTGCGCGTCCCGAGACCCCGGAGCAGCAAGCGCCAGCCCCGCGGTCATGAGGACATTGCGACGGTTCCAGAAATCCGCAGCAGGGCTGGCTCGTACAGTTTGTCCCTTTCCCCACCCAAAACAGGAGCAAATCTGGGGGGCAAACGCCTCCCCCCGTGCGCTGGAGGGACGCAGCCCCCATGGCTGGCACACGCAGCGGGGTGTGCCCTCCCCAGGCACGGGCTGGGGGGCTCCTCCGGGAGCCCAGACCCAGAGGGGGCTGCTCAGGCTGCCCTGGCACGGCCCTGGCACGGCCCTGGCACAGCCATGACCCAGCTGGCTCCGCTGCTGGGGTTCAAGCGCTGACCCAGAAACGGCTGGGGGGGCAGAGGGTGAGCACAGCCCTGGCTGGAAGCAGCCCCGGCCACGATCCCCGCCGGGCTGGCCAGGGGCCAGCGCTGGCCGCGGGGAGAGCTGCCAGCGCGGCTGGCACAGGGGTCACCACGGGGGGACGGGGTGGCAGCGGCGGTGCCCACAGCGACTGCGGGCAGGAGATGGTACCGGGGTGGGGGGGCACCTGGGTGCACAGGTACGGGGTACAGGGGGTACCTGCACAGGTATGGGGTGCAGGGGGCACCTGGGTGCACGGGTACGGGGTGTGGGGGGACACCTGGGTGCGCAGGTATGGGGTGCAGGTGTCTGTGAGCACACAGGTGAGCAGGGATGCACAGGTACATGGATAAGTGGATGCACAGGTACATGGATAAATGGATGCACAGGTACATGGATAAGTGGATGCACAGGTACATGGATAAATGGATGCACAGGTATATTAATAAATGGATGCCCAGGTACATGGATAAATGGATGCACAGGTACATGTATAAATGGATGACCAGGTACATGTATAAATGGATGACCAGGTACATGTATAAATGGATGCACAGGTACATGGATAAATGGGTGACCAGGTACATGTATAAATGGATGCACAGGTACATGGATAAATGGGTGACCAGGTACATGGATAAATGGATGCACAGGTACATGGATAAATGGGTGACCAGGTACATGGATAAATGGATGCACAGGTACATGGATAAATGGGTGCACAGGTACATCGATAAATGGGTACCCAGGTACATGGATAAATGGATGCACAGGTACATGGATAAATGGGTACCCAGGTACATGGATAAATGGATGACCAGGTACATGTACAAATGGGTGACCAGGTACATGGATAAGTGGATGCACAGGTACATGGATAAATGGATGCACAGGTATATTAATAAATGGATGCACAGGTACATGGATAAATGGATGCACAGGTACATGGATAAATGGATGAAGAGGCACATGGATAAATGGATGCCCAGGTACATGTATAAATGGATGACCAGGTACATGAATAAATGGGTGCCCAGCTCCCTGGATGTGTCACACGCGGTGCACAGCACACGGTGCCGGGGGCACGGACCCCCTCCTCTCCCCACGCGGGTGTTTTGGGCTCCCTCCGCCCCGGCTCACGCGTGGAGCGGGTGGCCGCGCCGGGAGCCGCGGGGCACACGGGGCAGGATCGTTCCCGGGGCGGCGCTCGGGGCTGTGCCAGCGAGGCGCCGGCAGCACGGCGGGGCTGGTGGGCACCCGGGAGGGCAGCGCGGGGGTCGCACCCTATCCTGATGGCATTGGTTCATGAATCGCTGCTGGACTCGCTGAAGGGGACTCCCAGGAGCGGAGGGGCTGTAATGCCCTAAGCAGCTTTCCGAACCCACAAGAGGCTCGTTGGCCCCTAATTGGCTTGGGACAGCTTAGGCAGGAGCCGGGCACTAATCACCCCCGGGATCCTTCCCAATTAACCCCGGAGAGCCCACTGAGGGAGGAATCTCCCTCTGCCGGGGCTTCGCAGGGCTCTGAGCAGTCGGTGGCCCTGGCTTCTCCCAAAATGTCCCTGTGGTGGCTTTGCCACGGTGGGGGAGCCCTGCGCCCCCAGCCCCGGGGCATGGGGGGCACTTCCAGCCCTGCAGCCTGAGGGGGAAAGGGACCCACGGCACAGAACAGGGAACAGCGAGGGGCGACAGCTCTTGTGCCACTGTCACACCAAGCCAGGGCACGCCCAAGGGCCACAGGGGCGCTTTACTCATTTTTTTCTGGACGCCAAGCAATAAATTGTAGAGTCCCAGAATTGTTTGTTTTGGAAGGAGCTTAAGTCCCATCCAATGCTGAAACGCGGAGAAAGATTAAAACCCCACAATTATAATAAAGATTTGTGGGGAACGGTGTGTTTATTCACAGTGTTGTGGATGCATGTGGGGACTCATTGTTCTTTAATGGACATGTGCACCCCTGAGAACTCCTGATCTTTTTTTATTACTCTAACTTCTATATGCATAGAATCTTATAATAGGTTTATGTATATTTATTTTATTTATTTTGCGTTATACTTACAGTTAGTTACACTTGTATTTAGTTTTTGTCAGAAAGAATTCTTGGGTCACTCTGTTTTGTTTGTTTTAAGGTTTGAGGAGTTTTTCTTGTCTCTTATCTTTTTAGTGTGGAAATCTGTATTTTTTTTTTTTTTAGTTAAGGTAGTTTTGCTAGTGCTGTAGTTACTAGACTAAAAAACACATTTTACTTAAATCCAGATTTCTTTCTTGTTAAATTTTTACTTTATCTCATTGCCACCGCGGGGACACCTCCCACTGTCCCAGGCTGCTCTGGGCACGCTGTGCCAGGGCCTGTCCGCCTTCACAGCCAGGAATTCATTCCTAATTAACGAACAGAAATTTAAGTCATTCATTGATTGATTAATTAATTAATTAATCTCATTAAGCGCCCACGGCGCTCGCGTCATGGCCGGGGAGTGGGCGTGGCCGAGGAATGGGCGTGATATTATGTGGGCGTGGTCACTGTGGGGCGCGACCAATGAGCGGGCGTGGTATTGCATGGGCGTGGTCATGGCGGGGCGTGGCCAATGAGCGGGCGTGGTATTACATGGGCGTGGTCACGGCGAGGCGTGGCCAATGAGCGGGCGCGGTGCTGTGTGGGCGTGGCCGCGCGGGGGCGTGGCCGCGCTGAGGGCGGCGGGCGGAGCGCAGCCCTAAGATGGCGGCCGGGCGGCGGCGGCGGCGGCGCTGAGGTAACGCGGCTTCTCCCGGCCCGGTTCGGCCCTGCTCGCCTCGGCTCGGCTCGGCCCCACCGCCTCCCCTTTCCCTTTGTGGTGGTGCTTGTAGCGGGTGGGATCCGGCTGCAGGTCGGGCGGGGGGAGTGGGGCCATGCCCACAGCGGCGGGCCGGCAGCATCGCCCGCTCTGAGGCGGCGCTTTCCCTTCAGGGCCGCAGGTGCGGCCGCGCCGAGCAGGAGGGGTGTATATATATCACCTGCGGTACCTTTATGTTTGTGTTATTCTCTAATCGAGTGTTTATATTATTCGTTATTCGCTGCCTGGGCCCGGTGTCCGCCCGGCCGCCCCCGGGGCAGCCGCGTTCCCCCGGGGCTGTTTGGCCACTGGGAAATTGAGATTAAATTAAAGCTCCTGCCCTTGTTGGCCCATTGCATCTCAGTCCCAGCCCTAATGTGGAGCTGCACCCCTGTTCTCACACACGGCACAGCTTGGTTCAAATCCTTGCTGCAAATGTCCCTCGCACAGCTTTGCTGAAAGGTTAAAATATCTCTGTAGCATTACCTGAGACTGATGATACCTTTTTTCTCTCTCTTTTTCTTTTTTTTCCTTTTTTTTCTAAAAAAAAAAATTACCTAAAGCAGTGGAAATACTTGAAATCTTCCTACTAATAACATGTGGTCCTTATTGCCTGACATAAAGAGAATTACCTTTATCACTGGCTGTCTTAGAGCTATTGTAGTTCTGCTCTATCAGTGTGATTTTATTTATTTATTTACTTTTGGTTTTGCGTTTCATTCTGTTTGACCAGTGATCCTTGGCTAGTCAAGCTCTTATTTTTTTATTTTAATTTATTGCTGTCTCTAGTCAGTGTCCCATTTTGGTTTGGTTGCATGAAGGTGGTGCTGGTGTTTGGTTTGTAATCTTGTAGGGCAGCGTGTAGGGAGGGTCATAAATCTGCAGCAGGGTTTGGTGGCTTTTTTTTTTTTTTTCCCCTTTTTTTTTTTTGTTTTTTTTTTTTTTTTTTTTTTTTTTGTTTTTTTTTTTTTTTTTCCCCTTCTTTTTTTTTGTGTGTGTGTGTGTCTCTCTTGTTTTACTTTCAGAGCAATAACTTAACTTTTGTCCTTGCTCTGTTGAGCAAAAGTGAAAGCTAGACGTTGGGTGCAAACTCCTGCAATCAGTTATCCTTTTTAACCTTCCATAGATGTAGATTCCTCGTGCTGGGGAGGCTTGGCGAAAAATCAGTCACCTCAAAAAGATAAACGGGGAGCGACTGAAGCTTCCTCTCCTTGAGTCAAACAACTGGATGATAACAGAAACGTTTGCTCCCGCAGCCGCCTCCACACAAAAGCAGTTTGCTAAAAGCCATTGCTGCCCACCAGGGCCTCCAGCTGGGACCTCCTTGCTCTCCGGGCTGCTTGGGGAGCATGCCAGCCTCCTGCTGTTCCTGCAGCAGCTCTCGGAAGACGCTGAGGGAGAGGAGCAGGAGCGCTGGCCCTGCCTCGGCACCCTGCCGGGCTAGCTTTGAATTGTTGCCCCCCTGAACACGCCGGGCCGCGTGGGAAACCCTAACCAAAAATGTAATTTCGCTTCCGCCTGGTCCGTGGCAGCAGGTGCAGGTTTATGGAGGAGCTTCTGGAATGTTCTAGCGCTGAAACCCCCGTGAACGGCGGGGTCTGGGCAGGCCAGCCCCTAGGGAGGGGAAACGCAGCGCGCTGCCTGTGCCTGAGTTTTAGTTGTGTGGGTTTCTCCCCCTTCCCCAGAACCTTTGCTCCTGAAGATGGTGAGTAGCCAGCCTAAGTACGATCTAATTCGGGAGGTTGGTCGTGGCAGTTATGGTGTGGTGTACGAAGCGGTCGTCAGGAGGACCTGTGCCCGCGTGGCCGTCAAAAAGATCCGGTGCCACGCTCCCGAGAACGTGGAACTGGCTCTGCGCGAGTTCTGGGCCCTTAGCAGTATCAAGAGCCAGCACCCCAACGTCATTCACCTGGAGGAGTGCATCTTGCAGAAAGATGGCATGGTGCAGAAGATGTCCCATGGCTCCAGCTCCTCCCTGTATTTACAGGTACACGAGGCCGAGGGGACGGGGTGGAAGGAATCGGTGACGCTGAGCTGGGGGGAAGGAGGTGGGGCAGCCCAGGGCTTGGAGCTGTGCTCAGCTAGGCCAGGGCATTATTGCATCGCTGACGCCCAGAATTTAATAGAGGTCTTTAAAAAAAAAACCAGGACAATCGCCTGGATCTTGAGTTTGAAGCTGCGCTGCTCTGAAAGACTCCAGGATTTGTATTTAATGCAGAGCTGCTCTGATAATTTGAGGAAGCCCATGGGGAGGTGCAGGCTGTGGAGTTCTTGGCAGTTGCAGGTTAAAGAACACTCCTGTCCTGGGACAGAGCTTGGAGGAATTCCATCCCGAGTGTCCTTGGAAGAGGAAATCAGTGTCTTCATTTATAGGAAGCCAGCACTTAAAATTCTTTCAGATTGGTAGCACATAATGAGCTGGTTTTATTTTTTAATAAATAACTATTAATCTCTTCAAAGAGTACAAATTAGGGAATACATATCACTGTGAAAGCGTCCTTTAAGTTTGAAGATGTGTATGTTTGAAGAATGAGTAGCTCTGGAAAGACAATGAAAGACAATGTAATTAATTCCCTTGTCAAGAAGCAGCCCTAAGTATAGACCAGCCCCGGGCAGAAATGAGTGTTTCTGGTTTAAAAAGCCAGCAGGCTGCTCGGTGTTTGCTGTGTTGTCCCTAGTCAGCTGTTTTATTTCAGTTTTCACTGCCACCCTGCTGCTGGCACCCTTTGGGGTGAGCAGCCCTGCAGATGCTGGCTGAGAACAGATCCTTGGCTTTGCCAGCTCCCCGTGCCTTGGGAGCTGTTCCTGACTTGTTCTCAGGGAAGGATTTGGCCAAAATAACACTGGCCAGCTCATGGGGCAGAAGTCAGAGCTTTACCTTCCTGGTGTTAGTGGAGCTGCTTCCAGCTGAAGGGCAGATGTGCAGGGAGGAGCTTGGAAAGGCCAGGGTGGAGCTGCAAGGTGGGGAAGAGCTTCCAGCTGACCCCAGCTCCGGCTGGGATGGTGGTGCTGGGCAGCAGCTGGCACAGGGAGCTGGCCCCTGCCAGGTGCAAACAGCACGGGTTGTTCTGCTGCTCCAGGGAGAGGAGCAAAGGGCAGAGCTGAGCTGACTGCCCGGGTCGCTTTGGAGCAGCCTGGGCTGAGCCCAGGGCACTCAGAGCCCCTTGGCTCAGCCTCTCCTCTCCTCTCCCAGGTGCTGATGCAGAGCTGAGTGTGAGGAGGCTGGGGAAGGGCTCTCACCCTCTCCTGAAGGGCTCTGGGCAGATTCTCACTGCCAGCTGAACCAAATCTGTAGAGTTGGAGTCCTGGGTCAGCCTTGTCTGCTGGTGCTTGGCCACTGTCACAGATGTGGCAGGTGGATTTTGTTGTCTTGCCTCTCACAATATCTGCAAGTGCAGCTCCTGTGACTCTGTGTTGGTGCCCTCTTGGCAGGGGAGACTCCCTGCTCTCCTGAGATAGCTTAATCTCACAGTTCCTGACTACAAAACCTAAATAAGGCATTTTTTTAGCTCGAGAATAGATTTACTGTTTAAAGAAGATAGCTGTAAATTATTACCATTTTTTCTCTTGAAAAGGTCACTTATTAAAAGCATTTCAAAATGCCTCTCTAGATATTAACACACCCCTTCATTTTTGAAAGCCAGTTTGATTTAGTGTCCATTGGTTTACTAACAGAAATAATTGCAGGACTTTCCTCCCCGAGCCACCTCAGAGGAGCTGAAGAGGCAAATGCAGTTGTGTAAACAGGATTAGTGGAAGTGATTGCAGGTTTTACTTTGCTTTCTGTGCGGAGCAGCTGTAAGAACTGGCTGTTCAACTTGTGTTCCTGAAAATGTGGATAAGGATGGTGGGAAGGGTGTTCTGTGCTCAGCTGTGCCTGCAGATCAGAGCTCTCCTGAGTTCAGGGATCCTGTGTTAACTTGCTGGAATTCATGGATGTGTCAGGAATGGAGACCAGGCTTTAAAAGTCTCTCCAGGATAAATACAGCTGTGTGCAGTTCCTTGTGAGACTTTGTTTATCCCAAAAAGCTGTTGGCAAAGTGGGTGGGACAGGCTTTGTCAGGGTGGGACACTGTCCAGCTGGGACAGATGGGAGGGCAATGGCCACTGGGTATCTTTAAAAACTGTTATCAGGGTCGAGCTCTGCTTCTGGGCAGGAGCCTGAGCTTGATACGCTCCACACGACTGAAGATAAGGAGGCTGGCAAATATATTGTGATTTTTTTTTTTTTCTCTTTTACATAAAAACATTTGCATAATGTTTTCGTTGCCCCGTTGCATACCTTGCTCTCTGGATTGTTGAGAGGAGGGTCAAACAGTGCTAGAGTGGTCTGGGTTGGAAGGGATCTTAGACCCCATCTCATTTCCCTGGGCAGGGACACCTTCCACTCTCCCAGGCTGCTCCAGCCTGGCCTTGGACACTTCCAGGGATCCAGGGGCAGGCCCAGCTTCTCTGGGCAGCCTGTGCCCGGCCCTGGCCAGCCCCACAGGGAAGAATTCCTTCTGTGTAACTAACCCAAACCTCCCCTGTCCGTGAAGATCCCGGTGTCTTGCATTTTTCCATCACATCCTTCCCTTCTCGCGGCCGTGGGGTCGTTACGACGTCTCTTTCCCTCGTTGCAGCTCGTAGAAACCTCATTAAAAGGAGAAATAGCCTTTGACCCCAAAAGTGCTTATTACCTGTGGTTTGTGATGGATTTCTGCGACGGGGGAGACATGAACGAGTACCTGCTGTCGCGCAAGCCCAGCCGCAGGACCAACACCAGCTTCATGCTGCAGCTCAGCAGCGCCCTGGCCTTCCTGCACAAGAACCAGATCATCCACCGCGACCTCAAGCCCGACAACATCCTCATCTCGCGGGGCCGCGCGCACGCCGGCGACCCCGAGCCCACGCTGAAGGTGGCGGATTTTGGGCTGAGCAAGGTGTGCTCGGCCTCGGGGCACAACCCCGAGGAGCCGGTCAGCGTCAACAAGTGCTTCCTGTCCACCGCCTGCGGCACCGACTTCTACATGGCCCCCGAGGTGTGGGAGGGCCACTACACGGCCAAGGCGGACATCTTCGCCCTGGGCATCATCATCTGGGCCATGCTGGAGAGGATCACCTTCGTCGACACCGAGACCAAGAAGGAGCTGCTGGGCAGCTACGTCAAGCAGGGCACGGCCATCGTGCCCGTGGGCGAGGCGCTGCTGGAGAACCCCAAGATGGAGCTGCTGATCCCCGTCAAGAAGAAGTCCATGAACGCCCGCATGAAGCAGCTGATCAAGGAGATGCTGGCGGCCAACCCGCAGGACCGGCCCGACGCCTTCGAGCTGGAGCTGAGGCTGGTCAACATCGCCTTCAAGGACAGCAGCTGGGATACGTGAGGGGCGAGCCCGGCGGGCAGAGCCCCGGCTCGCCTGCAGGGGGAACTTCGCACCTTCCTGGAGATTCCCGGCTGGAGCTTCCCGGCAGGAACGCCGAGTTGGCCGCGCTGTGAAATCCCGGAGCTGTTCCTTGGGGTGCGCTGGCAGGGGGATGTCGCAAGAGCCAACACTACTTGATTTCCAGCACTCTGCCGTGGAGTGTCTCACACATTCCAGCTTCCTATGTCAGTATTAGGAACTCTCATGGAAAAAAAAAAAAAAGGAAAAAAAAAAAAGATTTGCATGCTGGCAGTGCAAATCTTGAGGCTTTGTAATGTAATCTGTGTATATATTTATGTATATGAGTGACTGGGAGTGTGTGGCACTTAAATTATTTGCTGTGGGTCTGGATGATTGGGGTCTGCTAGAAACCTGGGTGAAGGAGGTGAGTGAGACAAACTCCTCCTTCCCCTGGCCTGAATGACTTTATTATTTATTTTTGTTATCTAATTTCAAAGACTTGACTTTGTAAACAAACAAACAAACAAAAAAGCAATGCAAGGGGATCAGCTGCTTTCAAAGTGCTAACATGGCTGATCTTGGCACTTAGAGCTTAATGAGCTCATCACTGAGGGAGTCAAATTAAAAATGTACAGTCAGGTGCTGGCAGGGGGGCTGGGTCATTGATCCTTTGATTTTGCTTTTATTCATCAATTAATCTGCCTTTTCTCCACACGCTCTCTGGCCTGGTGTCCATAATCCCATAGCACCTTGAGGATTTACCACAGCAGAATTCTGTGCCCTCAGTTTATGGAAACATGGATGAGGGAATCCAGCAGCATGTTGTTAAAATCCTTCAAAACGTGGTGGCAGCACAGTTTTCCTGAGCTGAATCCAGCCAATAATCCCACAGTCCTGGCCTTCCTCCCTGGCACTGCCCCAAACCCAGTGGGGATGAGGGGACGGGGGTGGCTCTGTCCCCTGTTACACCTGCTGGGAGCTCAGTGACAGCTGTGGGAAAGGTGGCAGCCGGTGGTGGGCTTGTTTTTTATTTTGAATTTTTCTCTTTTTAAAGAAGTGATCTTTATTTACAAGCACAGGTGGGAGGAGGGGGGTTTGGAGCAGCTGGAAGCTGCTTCTCCCCAGCTCTGGCTGCGCAGAGCAGATTGAGGCTGGGACAGGTTTCACTGAGGCCACCTGACACTGCTGGTTGTCCCAGCACAACACTTTGTTCTTCTGGGTGCAGGACTCACCTCTCCCATCCAGTCTGACCTTTTGGAAAAAAAAACAGAGTCTTAAAATTGCCTTTAAAGCTGCAGGAAATGCTAGTTGTCTTTACAAAACTCAATTTTTTTCCCTCCACCCAAATGTTACCTGGAAATGGCTGTAAGTATTTCCTTGTACAATTTGCTTTTTTGAACACTGTTCCCTCTTAGTGCTAGGACAGCAGTTCTGAGCACTCAGTGTTTATTCTTTGAGTGCAAGTAAACAAAATGTTACTTTTTGGTTTTCCAAAAGCAAAGGATTCTGATTCCACCCAGCTTCTGAGGCTTTACAGGCCGCAGGTGGTTCTTACCTGGTGCTGTGTGAGCTGGTGGCTGTCCCCAGCTGGCCTTAGTTTATCATTCTTGTTATTTCCTTCCTCGTTTTTGGGAGTGATCCTCAGACAAACACTCTTTGCTTGTGCCAACTCTGCCTCCCAGTTCTCACATCTCAGCAGGGCCATTGGCTGAGAAAAATCTGGAGGGGGTTGATCATTCATGTTAAACTCGGGAGCTTTTTCAGACTATTGGGGTGAGCGTCCCCCTCCCTCAGCCAGCCAGAATAACAGTGCTCCCCTCGGAGGTGTCTGATCACCTGCTCCCCTCTGCAGGGCTCCACTGCAGAGGAAATCACAAATCAGGGACTGGCACTGGCAAGTTTTGGGGTTTTTGACTCCCAAAGTGTTTCTTTGCACTGATTGCCACTTTATAGGTTGGGGGTACCTGAAATCCCTCTCATGGTGCTTATCCTCGCTGTTGGGTGACACTGGTAGTCCTCGAGCTCTGTGTTCTCTTTGGTTTTTGTTGTCTGAGGTCTTTGTTTTGAGAAAATAAATCAAGTTGTTGTAGCAGCTGCGGGGTCGTTCACCAGCGTGACACGAAGTCAAGACACTTTTCAGCACTTGGGAAAGATTTGTTTTGTTTCATGTTTTTCTTTAAAAACTGTAAACTATATTTTATGGAGAATTTATAATGAGGAAAATTATTGTGTAATTTATTAAGTTCATGACTGTTTTTTGAAATAAAATCCTTGAATTTCGAATGAAGTTTTAGGATTTTTTAATGGGGAAGTGCTTTCAGTCAGTGCTGCCCTGCAGGGACAGCATGCCCTGAGGAACCTTGGGAGTGAAGGTGAGGAAACATCATTACTTATCCATGACAGGAAAGTGTGGCCCTCATTTGCATGTTTTAATTAGCAGCGCTCTGGACACAGGGATCTGCAGGCTGGAAGTGCTGTAAGTTGAGTTTCTCTTGGAATTTCCTACACCCACACAACAAACCCAGCCCAGCCCTCTCCCCTGTGCCTGCACCTGTGGAAGGGCAGATTCCCACCTGGAATGGGCACGTGCCCACTGGCAGGAGCCTTGCAGTTGGGATTTAGATTCATTGGTTTAGGGGGGATAAAGACCTTTAGGAAAGGAGAAAATCCCACTTTTGGATTAGTTCTAAGAGTGGTGATTTTAAATACAGACACGAGCTGAATTCCTTCCCCACAAAATGAAGAGAAGTAAACCTGATATATATACATATACATACACACACATATATATATAATATATATATACTGTACTTCAAATATATTTAGCCCTTAGGGAGGGCGGGGAAATGTGCAGGGAAATGCCCTGGTGCAGAAATGAGATTTAATTAGAGCCCATCTGGGCTGGGAGAAGCCAATCTCAGAGGTTCCTGCTCCAGCCTGCCCAGCCGCGTTCGCAGGGCTGGGAACTCGCCCTCTTGGTGATTTTGGTTTGTTTTGCTTCAAGCAGAGCTTCCCTGGGGCTGTGTGAGGGAGGGAGAGCCCCGGGCCCATCCCAGCGCTGGGATGGGCAGGGAAGGAGCTGCTCCCCTCCTTTGGGCTGTGGGGACACGACCAGCCCAGAGTTTGTGGGGCTTTCCCTGTCCCCATCGCTCCCCGTGGCTGGGACGGAGGGACTGGCCCGGGAGCAGCAGCCTGGGCATTTAAACACCAACTTGGGCGGGTGCTGCTGCCAGGGCTGCTGGGGAAGGTTCTCCTCCCTGCCAGGTGCAGTTCTGTGCTGCAGCCCAGCAAGGGCAGGGGGATGTGCCTGGGATGCCACAAACCACCCGGAGCCCCCGAGGGACACGGGCGGGTGGGAATACCAGCCCGAGCTGCTGCTCGGGAGCTCTGGAAGGGTTTGGGGCAAGGTGAAGCCCCATTTTTAGGAGCAGGGAGGTGTCAAGTGACCACTGCTGGAAGAGGAGCCCAGCCTGGGCTGTTCTTGTTTTGTTCCAGAGGCTCCTTTACGCTCAGGTTTGGGATGGAGCCAGGTGCGACCCACAAACCTGAGAACCTTTGCAGCAGTGGTGGGTTCAGGCCTCCACGCTGACCCTGGGCTCGGTCCCTGTCCCTGCTGGCTGTCCCCGTGCTGCCCAGCCCTCGCCTGCCCTGGCTTTGGAGCCTTTTGGGGCTGGAACATCCCCGGGAGTGCTCCAGTTCCGACCTGCGCCGACACGCGGGTGCCTGCCTCGGATTAGGTGCTGCCTTCAGATTCATTCGTGCCCGTTTGAACCCTGGAGATTCCTAAACTCGTCGAACAAGCTTTCCACCCCTGGCCTCTCCCGAGGGAAGCCCGAGCCTCTCTGGCTCCTCCCCAGCTCTCGGGGTGGTGGCATTTGCCTTTCCAGGGGCAGATCCCAGAGCTGCCGAGGCTTTCTCCATCACTTGTCCTGACCCCGTTCCCTGTCCTCACCAGATTTGCTCCAGTGCAGCCTCATCCTGCGCGCCGAGCCGGGTGTAGCCTGCTCTGCTCCTCTCCACGTTTGTTAGAGAGGTGGTCTGTCCCTTCCTTGCTGCCACTGGGAGTTTTTCCAGGGCCTGCAGGGCTCAGACGGGACCTGGCTCCTGTCACCCTGCCCAGGTTCCATTTTAGCCCCCATTTTCGTCAGCACAGGAGTGTGGCCCCAGCCCCTTCCTGCCCCGCTGCCATGGCCGGGAAGGTGCCGGGCACAGCCCCAGGCCCGTTCCCGGCACTGCTGCGGAGCAGCTCCTCAGGAAGGAACTGGGGTGGGGACAGTGCTTGGGGACAGGTCCCCCCTCATCCCGGGGCTCTGTCCCCACTGGAGCCCCCTCGGTCCCTGCGATCAGCCTGGCCGTGCCCCAGCTCTCCATGCAGACGGCTGCAGAGGGGCTGGGGGCTCCCTGGGGGCTCCGGGGGCTTTCTCTGGCCCCTCCGAGGGTCTGCGAGCCCAGCCGGGGGGGCAGCAGCTCCTTCCCTCCTTCCCCCTCTGCTCCAGTGCCACGTTCGCAGCCCCCCGGGCCGGAGCTGGGGATGGAGGGGCCGGGATTGTCCCAGTGGGAGCGCTCGGCCCCGGGGAAGGGAAGAGGGCAGCGGTAAAAATAACCCCTGGGCCAGCTCCAGCCCATTGTGGCTTCCTGCGATTTACAGCCCTTCCCCGGGGGAAGAGGCAGGAACCGGCGGCTTTGACCCTTTCACCGCCACCGGAGAAGGTGCCAGAAGGACTTTTCCTCCTTCCTGCCTGCCTTGGGGGGATTGTGGTGGGCTCCTGAGCTGTCCCCACACCCTGCGGTGGGCGTAAAGGAGAAGCTGCTGGAGTGGACACGGTTTCCCTGCCCCATTCCTGTCCCGCCCTGTGCAGGGGACAGAGGCTCGGAGGAAAAATCCCTGCGGCAGATCCCGAAAGGCCGCCGGGGTTCCCGTAAGGACGCGGAGGGAGGAGAGGAGCTGGGCTAATGCTGGCCAGGGCCGGGGCAGGGCTGCGAGGGGAGGTCACGGGGGGGCTCTTGCCGCGGGGCTGGGCTGGCAGGGGTTAATGGGTGGCTCTTCCTCTTCCTCATCCTCTATATGAGGCTGCTCCCGGCTCTGGGCTCAGTTTGCCGCGGCAGCCAGAGGGGCAGGAGCTGCGTGAGACTGACTGGAGCATCCCATCCCTGCATCCCATCCCTGCATCCCGTCCCTGCATCCCGTCCCTGCATCCCGTCCCTGCATCCCGTCCCTGCATCCCATCCCTGCATCCCATCCCTGCATCCCGTTCCTGCATCCCGTCCCTGCATCCCTGCGTGGGCTCAGGTGAGCGAGAGCATCCCCCACCTGCCTGGCACAGGTCCTGGCACAGGTCCTGGTCGCGGGGCTGGGCTGGGGAGGGTGAGGGCACCGCGGCACGGGAGGTCCCAGCCCGGGCGCACAGGGCCAGAAACGCGTGCCTCAGTTTCCCCGCGTGTACTCCGGGGTGGGTGCGGTGTGGAGTGCGTGGGCTGCGTGTGGAGCTGCGTGGCAGAGGCTTCCTGGGCTGTTTGCTCCCGCGAGCTGTGCCCGGCCCCGTGTCCCTGCTGTCACCCAGAGCCGGCTCCGTGCCCTCCGCACACAGAGAAAGGGAGACTCTTCCCTCCCAGCCCGGCCTGGCTGTGTGGGGCACGGCTCGGGGACCCCCGAGCACTCGGGGCAGCTCGCCAGCCCCCCTGAGCTCGGCTTTGTTCTGCCGCTCGGGAAGCCGAGGCGGCGGCCGGCTCCGCTATTTTTTCCTGTTGGAAGCCGCTCCTGGGATGCGGGCGAAGCCGGCGGATGCTCGGCGCTTCTCCCTTCCTGCCCCGGGGCTGTTCCTGCCCGGGCTGCCAGGACTCGCTGTCCGTGCGGCACTGAGGGGACCCTCAGCTCTGCTTCGGCCCCATCCTCCTCCTCCTCCTCCTCAGCGCTGCACCCTCGGGGCTGACCCTGGCTCTCCTCTCTCCTCCAGGGCTGAACCCAGGGGCCGAGCGAAGCTTCAGGAGCCTCCCCAGCCCGGCCGCTCCGAGGGGCGCAGGGGGACCAGCAGCGCCGCTCCGGGGCCATGGTGCCCTTGGGCAGCCCCGCTCTCGCCGTCTGCGCCTCCAGCAACCTGCGCCTCGTGGCCCCCGGCCGCGGCTCGCCCCTGGCCTGGCTGAACCGCGGCCCCGAGTGCCCGCAGGGCCCGGGGGGCAGCGGGGGCCGCAGGGCCAGCGCCGTGGAGCGCCTGGAGGCCGACAAGGCCAAGTACGTCAAGTCGCAGCAGGTGATCAGCAGGCGGCAGGAGCCGGCGCTGCGGGGCTCGCCCCGGCTGGCCCCGCACGGCCGGCGGCTGCTGGCCCGGCAGGCGTGCGGGGAGCTGTGCCCGGCCGCGGAGCTCAGCCGGGACGGGCCCCGCAAGCTGCCGGGCCCGCAGTCCCCCGTGTCGCGCCGCAGCGGCAGCAGGCGCCTGCTGAGACCGGACTCGCTCATCATCTACCGGCAGAAACGGGACTGCCTGGCCGGGGACAAGGAGAACACCAAGGGCTCGGGGCTGGTGCGGCGCCTCTTCCAGGGACCCCTCAGACCGCCCGGCTCGCCCCCCGCCGGGCCGCTGGGCGAGGGAGCCCCGCGGAGCCCCGAGACCCCCATGCTGTGGGCGCCTGCCGAGAAGGAGGAGGCGCGGACACCGGGAGGGGACAGCGGCGGTGACAGCGGTGGCATCTTCCCCTCGGTGCCCGCGGAGCAGCCCCCCGGTGCCGCCGGGAAGGAGCCGCTGGCTCTGCGCGCGTCGCTGCCGCTCTCGGAGCAGGAGCGGTTCTTCAACTACTGCGGGCTGGACCGGGCGCTGGTGGAGCTGCTGGGCCGGGAGCGCTTCGGGCCGGCGGGCTGGGACAGCGGCTCGGCCCGGCCCGGCTCCTGCGAGTCCGAGCCCGGGCGGGCCTCGGGGGGCAGCCGGGGGGACGCGGGGCCGGGCGAGGAGGAGCCGGAGGCCCGGCCGGGCTCCGCCGTCTCGGTGGTGGAGCGCAACGCCCGCGTCATCAAGTGGCTCTACGGCTGCCAGAGAGCCTGGGCGGCCGCCAAGGAGTCCACGGTCTGAGCACCGGGCACCGGGACGCCCGCGCGGCTCCCGCTGGCCGGAGCCGCCCCGGGGCCACTCGCGGGATGGGGCCGGTGGGCTGGTGGCACCCGCGGCCCCGGTGCCGTGGGGATGCTGCGGGCTGGGAGAGCCACCAGGTCCGCAGGCTGAGTGTGCTGGGGGCACCTGAGGGGCAGGTGAGGAAGGGCCACCCCCGGGTGAGTCCCCCTGGCCTCAGGGCTGGCAGGCTGCTGTCCCCCATCTTCTCCCTGTCCCCAGGAGGGTGGGATGGGCCCACAGCCCCGCTGACCACCCAAGTCCTGCTCCAGCTGCAGGCTGGGGGTGAGCAGAGCCCGAGCCCCACTGTCGTGGGCAATGCCCACCCTACAGCCCCCTCCTCCCCAGAACAGGAGCTGCTGCGGCCAGAGCTGCCCTCAATAAATCTGTTTAGGGTTTTTTTCCTGGCCTGGCTGTGTGTGTGGTTGTGAGGGAGTGCCCCAGGGCTGGGGGGCGGCTCCCCCTCCCCACCCTTGGGGTTGTGCTGCTTCAGGGGCCGCGGGGCTGTTGCGGGGGCGAGGGCAAGGAAAGCAGCAGAGCTCAGGGGAAGGCAGAGCTCAGGGAAAAGCGGAATCTTCGGGGTCCTCAGCGCAGCGGTGACACCCAAACCCAGGGCAGAGCCCTCGGGCACGGGCGGGGCGATGGGAGCAATGGCGAGTCCGGCCGGTGCATCCTCCTCTAGTTGCCCTTGGGGGCGTTTTTATTCCGGATTTCGGCCAGTTTGCCAGCCAGGAAGCCCCAGTGGAAGGCCCCTTCCTCTGGCTCCCGCAGGTCGCTGCCGTCGTCACCCGGCGGCTCCCCCGGGCTCTCGTCCGGCTCCGGGGGCGGCGCCCCCTTGTCCGGCCCCGACGCCTGCTGCCACTTGGCAGCGAAGAGATCCCAAAACCCCGGCGCCTTCTCGGTGTGGGGCACCTCGGACGGCTCGGTGGCCAGAGGGCTGGGCAGAGAGAGGGGATGGAAGTGCCGGTGCAGGGACCTCTCCCCAAGCCCACCGTGCCCCCCTCCCGCCGGCTCTGCCCCGCGCAGCCCCGCGGGTGCAGGCGGGGAGGGGAGCAGGGGATGGGGTGGGGGATGTGGGGGCTCGGCAGGTCCCGGGGGTCGGACCCGGGCCCTGGGGCCCCCCACCAGCGATCTGTAACTTACTGGTCTGGGCAGGGCTCCGGGCTGAGCAGCTGGTGCTCGTCCTCGCGGCTGAAGAGGGACGAAAGCGTCCGCCAGCCGCGGGCACCGACCCCCTGCACCTGCGGGGGAGCGCCGGGGTCACCGGGGAGCTCCGGCCGCCGGTGTCCCCCGGCCCCGCTGCCCGCAGCCCCCTCCTCACCTTCCGGGCCAGCTGGGACACGGGGCTGGCTCCCTCCTCCAGCAGCGCGGGGGGCTCGGCCGTCTCCATCAGCTCGGGGGGGTCTCCCTGCAAGGAAGCCCCGGTGAGGGAAGGCTGCGGGCGGCGAGCTCGGCCAGGCGGGTCTGGGCACCCCCAGCCTACCTCGTCCTGCAGGGTCCCGTCCGGGCGCGGCCCCCCCAGGCTCTGCAGCACCTTGGCCTTGTAGAGCCGCCAGAAGCCCTGCGCCATGGCGAGGGGCTCGGCGGGGCCGGAGCCGGCGGCAGCCGCGGCCAGCGGGGCGAGCCGAGCGGGCGGCCCGGCGATCCGGTGGCTTCATTAAAGTTTCAGCGGCCGCTCGCACCGCACAAAAGGAATCTGAGCCCGGGCTGAGCCGGGGGCAGCGCGGGGGCGGCTCCTCCGGTCACCCCCAGAACCCATCCCGGGACCCCCGCCGCAGCCCCCCGGTGCCCCTCGCCCGCTTGGGACCCCCAGGGCTGGGACAGCCCCCCCGGGGCAGAGCGGGCGCTGGAGCTCCGCGCTCCCCCCGCCGCCTGTCCCCATCTATAATTGATCACGGACGAAACGCGATCACGCCGGGACACGGCGGGACGCGCTGAGCCCTGCCCCGCTCCTGCCAGCGGTGACCGGGGCAGCGCGGGGGACACGGGGGAGCACGGGGGGAACGCGGGGACGGTGGCACCGGGGACTGGGGGTCCGCGGGGGCGCGGGGACCGTGCCGGGACCGTGACGGGATCATCCCGGAACCATCTCGAGACCGTGCCGGGACCGTGCCGGGACCGTGCAGGGACCATCCCGGACCGTGCCGGGACCGTGCCGGGACCGTGCCGGGACCATCCCGGCACCATCCCGGACCGTGCCGGGACCATCCTGGACCGTGCCGTGACCGTGCCAGGACCATCCCGGGACCATCCCGGACCATCCCGGGACCATCCCGGACCGTGC